TGGGTTCGTTTAACGAAGTTTGTTTATACAGCCTTCCCAGCCCCCAATTCCCCGCCTCTGGTGAGGAGAGTGTCTCCCACCCGCTTGGCACAGGGAGGGCACCTTTCCCGTGGGAGATTCATCTCCTGCTTTCAGGAGGTCGGGAGGGTCAGAGTATCCTTCTTTCGCTGGCTGTTTCATAAGTACCTTCAATTCAAAATAGTCAATATGCCAAAGTGGCATGTTTTGGGGGCGACCTGTTCTGAACCCCTTCACCATCTTCCCATGGATGCACCTTGCCCGCGTGCACTGTCTCACCTGCAGGGGCACCTTAAAGGCCACCTTCCCCTCTCACCCCCCAGGAGGCTGGGCTATCTTTGTTTGATTACATTTTTATTTGTTTTAAAAAGGCTCTTGGGGCGCCTGGGTGGCTCAGTCGGTTAAGCGTCCGACTTCAGCTCAGGACATGATCTCGCAGGTCGTGAGTCCGAGCCCCACGTCGGGCTCTGTGCTGACAGCTCAGAGCCTGGAGCCTGCTTCAGATTCTGTGTCTCCCTCTCTGTCTCTGCCCCTCCCCTGCTCACATGCACACGCTTTCTCGCTCTCTCAAAAATAAACATTAAAAAATTTTTTAAGCTCTTAAGTAGCATATGCATTTACATTTTGCCCAACACCAAACCCAAGCATTTGACTAACCACACGCTAGTTCATTATAGATGCTTAGACTCAAACATTCCATCCTGACTTCCTCTCTCCCTGCTCTTTCCCACACCAGCCCCCCCTCAAATGATGACACTTCTCTCCCCATGTCAGTAGTGCTGCCCTTAAAATGAGACCTAAGACTATATTTGACAATAGACACGACAGACATAACAGCCCAAACATTTTTCTTTCTTGTTTCTAGTCAGATGGCGGCTTTTTGCCACTAACTCCGGCCCCTCCACCTTCTGACTCCACCGTCCTCTGTAGAAGGGGCAGGGGCCTAGGAGAGGCTGCATCCACTCTTTAAGGCTTTGACCCGGAAAGACCAGCTCCAGACCTGCCAGGACTCTGCACTGGCCACCTTTCAATACAAAGAAAACTGGGAAATGTGGTCCAGTCCTGAGCTAGAAAAAGAAGAAACAAACAAACAGAGAATGTGGAGGACCAACCAGCAGGCTCCCGGGACGACCCAGAGCTTTTGTGTCTACTCACTCATTAGCCTTTCAGACAGGTTCCTCCAGGTCAGGATAGATGCCTGGATTTGAAGGTTATAGCCCAGCCAGAAAAGGCAGAAAACCATCTTCAACTGGGGGCCCGGGGAGGAGGGTTGTAGGTTTCCTCTGTGACATTTGAAAGTATGAAATATCACTGAAGATTGTTAAGGGCCAATCGATCTGACAAACCCTCTTCTTGGGGGGTGGAAGGACTGAAGGACTCAGGGACCCAAGGGCTCAGGGTGGCTCTGCACAGTCGGAGGGCTTACCCCCCAAAAATTGGCAACACAGAATCACAGGAAAAGCACAACTGCGTGTGCATGGAGCCTCACAAGAATACGGGCAGGTGACGGGCAGGCTCCATACCATTGGGCGAAGAAGGCCATGGGTGTGTAGGCGAGAGGCAAGGGGATTTGAGTGACAAAACGCCAAAGTGACCCCAGGAAGATGTGGGTTAGTTTGCTTGAAGTTTGTTTATACAGCCTTCCCAGCCCCAATTCCCCGCCTCTGGTGAGAGTGTCTCCCACCCGCTTGTACATGAGGAGGGCACACGCTTTCCCGTGGGAGATTCATCTCCTGCTTTCAGAGTCAGGAGGTCAGGATGTCCTTCTTTCGCTGGCTGTTTCATAGCTTCAATTCCAAAATGATCAGCCTATGCCAAGAGTGGTTTGGGGGCGACCTGTTCTGAACCCCTTCACCATCTTCCCATGGATGCACCTTGCCCGCGTGCACTGTCTCACACCTGCAGGGGCTGTAAGAGCCACCTTCCTCTCACCCCCAGGAGGCTGGGCTATCTTTGTTTGATTACATTTTTATTTGTTTTAAAAAGGCTCTTGGGGGGCGCCTGGGTGGCTCAGTCAGTTAAGCGTCCGACTTCAGCTCAGGACATGATCTCGCAGATCAGTCCAGGAGCCCCACGGCTCGGGGCTCTGCTGACAACTCAGAGCCTGGAGCCTGCTTCAGATTCTGTGTCTCCCTCTCTCTGTCTCTGCCCCTCCCTGCTCATGCACTGCGGCTTTCTAAGCTCTCAAAAATAAACATTAAAAAAATTTTTTAGAAAGCTCTTAAGTAGCATATGCATTACATTTGCCCAACATAAGCCCAAGCATTTGACTAACCACCGTAGTTCATTATACTTGAACTCAAACATTCCATCCTGACTTCCTCTCTCCTCTTTCCCACCAGCCCCTCAAATGATGACACTTCTCTCCCAGCATGTCCCAAAGTAGATACTGCCCTTAAATGAGACCCTAAGACTATATTTGACAATAGACACGACAGACATAACAGCCCAAACATTTTTCTTTCTTGTTTTCTAGTCAGATGTGACTTTTTGCCACTAACTCCGGCCCCTCCACCTTCTGACTCACCGTCCTCTGAAGGGGCAGGGGCCTGGGGAGAGCTACATCCTCTTGACTTTGACCCGGAAGAGACCAGCTCCAGACCTGCAGGACTCTGCACTGGCCACTCAATACAAAGAAAACTGGGAAATGTGGTCAGTCCTGAGCTAGAAAAAGAAGAAACAAACAAACAGAGAGAATGTGGAGGACCAACCAGCGGAGGCTCCCGGGTGACCCAGGCTTTTTGTGACCTACTCCACTCATTAGCCTTTCAGACAGGTTCCTCCGAATAGATGCGGATTTGAAGGTTATGGCGCCCAGCCAGAAAGACAGAAAACCATCTTCAACTGGGGGGCCGGGGAGGAGGGTTGTAGGTTTTTCCTCTGTGAGCATTGAAAGTATGAAATATCACTCTGAAAGATTGTTAAAAATTGTCGATCTGACAAACCCTCTTCTTGGGGGTGCAGGAAGGACTGAAGGACTCAGGGACAAGGGCTCAGGTGGCTCTGCACAGTCGGGAGGCTTAACTCCCCCTCCCCCCCCCGAATCCCAAGGCAAGCCCTACCTCCCGGGTTCAGTCAGGCCCTTGCATCCTGTAAACAAAGCCCCCCATCCCAGTGGGTTTGAGCCCTGAGTTTATCTATGATGTGTGGAGTATGGAGAGACTCCCAGTCAGGGCAAAATCAGCAGCGAGAGCTCAGGCGAGACCTTTCCGGGTCACAGATACCCCACCGGGTAGGGGTGCGGTAGCTATGAGAAGACGTGGCATCCAT